GAATCGTGAAGTGAAATAAGTCGCCTTGCTCCGAGTGAACACGTTAGACCTCGTTGTTCTCGAGACGAGGAAAGTGAAGTTCATTGAGCCACGACTTCTAAACCGGGACAAACCATCGGATACCTCGTCCTGCTGGAATGAGAACCGTGTCGGTGTAGCAGGACATCGAAATGAAATGGTGAATGGAGGAAATAAGGAGTATCAATCACCCACAGTTAAGTAACCCTTCTAGTTATAGCAGACTGATGCTGGCCAGTTAGGTATGTTGTAATTGGATAGGTTATGAGTGATCCAGCTACATCAAGTGACCACCAGAGAATATCTGGTAAGTGGAGAGATTATGTACAAGTGTTTTTCCTTTATGGATATATCCATGTGTAACCTACCCCTCCCTTCATTCAGTTACACTAATATAATCTATACAGTCCACAATTAATTAGTAGCACTGTATTTGTGGGTGCTATCCAATCCATACTGGTCTCGGATAGATATGGATAAGATTGTGAGGTCGAAGGGACCACCTGCCGTGACCAGGGGTGGTTAAGTTTTCTCACATGTCTACACGGGGTGACTACGGTAAACAATATGGTTGTCTCCCAATGAGATTACTTGTACGTATATAATGTTGAGGTACATACAGGTAAGCACCCCTAGAAAATTTTCCACACATACCATAGGACAGGGAAAGCTGATGGTAGAAAGACCATAAGACGTCCATTCATTTAGATTGTAACCTAATGAACATAGGATGTTAAGTGTTCAAGTCAATGTGAAGTGAAGCATTAACTTTAATATAAAATTGAGCACTATAATACTGGAGAAACATTTATTGTAGGTAGATTAGGTATAGGTCAAGAGAGTGTCTTTCAGTGTGATAACAATGAAAATCGCAAGTTTCATCAACTGGTAAACTTAAGCTCCAGTTCAAGCAAGATTCAGGATAATATCCATGCAATATTTAAATAGGTACCCAGTAACCTGTTTAAATAAATCTCTATAATTGATAAATTTGACTAATATTAAAAAGTTCCTGGATTGCCACAAAAAAAAAAAAAAATAGGCTTACCTAATCACCTAGTTGAAGTTGTCTCACTCGAAGTACTCTCCTTGGGAGGCTATACACTGATCCTGGCACCTCTGCCACTTCTCCAAACATTTCTAGAACTCCTCTTTCCTAACGGCGTCTAGCAAGTGCTGCGCTTCTACTTGAATTTCTTCCACATTGTTAAAAAGTTGCCCCTTGAGTGCAATTATTGTTTTTGGGAAGAACACTGTGTTTGACTCCTTGCTTCATTGCCAAATGCTTACTGAAGTATTTTGTGATTTTTCACTAGCTGTTTTCCTGAGACAAGCAGAATTTCTCTCTCTCTCTCTCTCTCTCTCTCTCTCTCACACACACACACACACACACACACACACAGTTCTTTCTTTTGAAGAATCCATTCTCTTAAACAAAAAATTGCAACAATACATTGATAACACAACAAAAATACCTCTCTAAGCTCAATGGAACGACCAACCACACTGAAATTTGCAACGTTACTTCACAAATGAATGTATTGCATAATGTGATTTATGTGGCTGCCACATTTCGTCAACGAAGCACACAAAAAATTCTAGTCAGGGAACTTTTTGATAGCACCTCTTTGGGCTTGTTTGTGTTTCTACGAGTCTTTTCCCTCAGTGGGGGTTTATGTGAAAGAATCATCAAAACATAAGGTCAGTTGGTTGGTTAATTGGTTTTAAACCTACAACTACATGGGGGTCTTAAGGATGCATGTACCTTTTCAAAACCAATCAAGAATACTGTACCCTTACAGTAAATTCGGCTATATACATAGAGAATGCACCTCACGGTGTATATATTTTGTAAGTACTAAGAATGTTATTTTTGTTCCTTCCCGTTATTAAAAAATAATTAAATGGGGGATAATTCCATGTAAATTCCCATTTACAGCCCATGCTTTATCACAATAATTTTTAGCATTAGTTTTATTCTTATGATATCCACTACAGTAAAATACTACGTACGATTTTTGAGAAAATTTCAAAACTAGTATTTCCGTGTTGAATATACATTCAATATAAATATTCAAATCCCCCTTGAAAAATTTTAAAATTATTATAGAGGGTGAGTTATAAAGGAAACAACTCTTTTGCTCTAAAATAAAAAACTACCATTGGGGCTGAAATAACCAAAAAACACATTTAACTTTTTAAGCTTCTTTTACTCCCTTTTACTTTTGGGGAAAAAAAAGTTTGATAATAAAAAAAGTCTAAAGAGTACGGGGCATTTGTGTTTCGTCATTTTTTAAATTTTGAGAAAGGGAAGCCTCCATGACCTTTCAAAATCTTTTAACGACCGCCCAGTTTTCTGGTACAAAAAAAAGGGAACGAACAACCCGTGTGCATGCAGGGCCCAAAAGAATAGGACCAAAACAAAACCCTACAAGCCACACTCTATCATCTCATCAAAGGTTTTTTGAGACAAGGAAGGGGTGAATGCGTAACATGTACAGAAAAAACCCCCGGCCTTGGGAACGAAAAGTTCAGGAAGTATCTCAGTGGCCATAGCCAGCTGGAAGGCATCACACCAATAAACTCCTATCTAAACACTACGACCCGCTAATGGTAACCAGCTCAGCCACCCATCGTAATTTTACTGTTAGATAGAAGAATAAAACCAATTTTTTCCCCGTGCCAAAAAGTGGCAAAGAGGTTCCCACCCCTTTAAAGTTTCTGGGGAAAGATAAAGCAAAAAAGAAGAAAAAATTTTACCTGAAGGGTATGATCCCAAAATAAAACGAGTCCGAAAGGGTCTGTGCTACCCAGCCATGGAAAAATTCTTTCTCATATAATCTTCATTTCACCGAAAATTCTTTTTACTCTACAAAATAATATTTTCTGGGTTTTTATGTTGCTTTTTTCTTTAGCAACATCAATGAATCATAAAACGAATAATTTTCCTTTACAACACACACTTTCATTTCTGTCATCTCGTTTTCCACTTTCTCTGGCGAATGCCGAAGCTTCAGGAGAGTCATTTTTACCTCTGCATCTCTTCCTTTCCTGACGAGCCACACTGGAGACTCGGGAGACAACAGGAGACAGAAGCAACTTGGAACAATGGTCATCAAGGGAAGGAGCAAGGCTGCAGTATACCAGTAGAGGTAGCGACCCAGCAGGTAACACAGCAGGAAACCTAGGGTGACCCATGCCTCGACCAAGCTGGTCAGGCATCCACGGTAAGAAACAGTACTCACCTCACATATATACACTGAGATGGTAGGAATGAGCACTGCTGCTGTCGCTCCCTGAAAATCAAGAACCTGGTTATTTATAATTGCTGTATCGTTTAGAGTTTTCATAAGAGGAAGTCTAGCTCTTGAGACTAATCTTTAAACATTTGATGCACCAATGAAATTTACCTATCATGATTCATTAATATCTGAACCAATACCATATTTGTTATGGGGGCCTGGGATCATCACCTCAATGGTCCCATCTTGGATCATGCCTCATAAATTGGAAGGTAAATGTTACTGGAATAAGAACTATCATAAAACACATTGGAAAGTAAAGGCAAGTGTATATCTGTCATCATACAGGAGGCCCTCCACATTCACCAGGGTTAGGGGATCAAGAACCTCACGAATCTTGAAAATTCATGAATGTTTGGTGTGCAAATATGATGTAGGGAAATATAATAATACTGTACTGTAGCGTTCGCAAATGTTTTGATTTGCAAATATATTGTAGGGAAATATAATAATAGCATTTACTTAGCCTAACAATACTGCTTCCTTAACCTATTGAACCACGAACAATCATAAAGCACATGGAAACTTCGTAAAATATTGTATATACATTCTTCTTCTTTCTTTCAACACACCGGCCATATCCCACAAAGGCAGGGTGGCCCAAAAAGAAAAACTAAAGTTTCTCTTTTAAATTTAGTAATTTATACGGGAGAAGGGGTTACTAGCCCCTTGCTCCCGGCATTTTAGTCGCCTCTTACAACACGCATGGCTTACGGAGGAAGAACTCTGTTCCACTTCCCCATGGAGATAAGAGGAAATAAACAAGAACAAGAACTAGAAAGAAAATAGAAGAATACCCAGAGGGGTGTGTATATATATGCTTGTACATGTATGTGTAGTGTGATCTAAGTGTAAGTAGAAGTAGCAACACATACCTGAAATCTTGCATGTTTATGAGACAGACAAAAGACACCAGCAATCCTACCATCATGTAAAACAATTACAGGTTTTCGTTGTACACTCACTTGGCAGGACGGTAGTACCTCCCTGGGTGGTTGCTGTTTACCAACCTACTACCTAGGTTGTATATACATGTTATGGTTTAATAACAAATAATGAACAAACGAAACACTCACCACTCGTAAGGTTAGGCAGACGAACTCTGACGACTTGTGATGATGATGACAATGACGATGATGATGGTGATGATAGCCATGCAGTTACTGATGACATATGTAGGCAAATCAAAAGAGGAGAGGGGCAATTAAGAAATCGATATATTTAGTTAAAGAGAGAAATAAAAAAGGGAATTAGAAAAGCAAAAAGAGATTATGAGGTTAAAGTTGCAAGAGAATCGAAGACTAACCCAAAAGGATTCTTTCAGGTATACAGAAGTAAGATCAGGGACAAGATAGGCCCACTCAAAAGTTCCTCAGGTCAGCTCACTGACAGTGATAAGGAAATGTGTAGAATTTTTAACACATACTTCCTCTCAGTTTTTACACAGGAGGATACCAGCGATATTCCAGAAATGATCAATTATGTAAAACAGGACGATAATAAACTGTGCACGATTAGGGTCACAAGTGACATGGCCCTTAGGCAAATAGATAGTTAAAACCTAACAAATCCCCAGGCCCTGATGAACTGTATGCGAGGTGTAGTGATACTGCTCCTGTGGGGAGCAGCAGCAGGATAATACTGCACCACCTCTCGGGGCCCTTAACAACAACAACAGTTTGGTGTGTGTCATGGGCGCCAACACATGGTGCGTGATTCTCTTCTCTTCTACTATCCCTATATTAGTGATGCAGATTACATGGTGAGTTTAAATATGTGGCCTGTAGTTATAACTTTTCTCTTGACATATGCAAGACATCACCATCCCTGTAGAAGCCGTTATTAGATGTACTAGTCATTATATTTTGTTGTTGCAGAAGTACTATGAAGATTCTATGTTCAATAAAGCCTAGAGATAAGGCCTGTGTTTCTATCACAACAATTTATTGAACATAGAATCCTGGGCTACCTGGTGGTGATCCTGCGCTGGACTACATCACAACATGGAGCGTTTACTGAAACCTGAGAGGCTAGACTGTGACCCCAGCTTATCAACGGCTGCTCAGTAATGGAAGCACTGGTTTAAGACTTTCGAAAACTTCTTGGGAGCCCTTCCTAAAGAAGATCTAGATAAACTAAGTCTGCTCATCAATTTTGTGTCACCTAAGATATATGAGGCTATTTCTGAGTGTAATACCTACGAAGATGCTATCAAAACCCTCAAGTCTCAGTATATTAAACCTACAAATGAAATCTTTGCACGCTATCGCCTTGCAACTCGCCGCCAGCAGATTGATGAATCCTTAGAGGAATACCTTCAAGCACTGAAAATTTTAGGTAAGGACTGTCACTTCCAACCAGTGACAGCTGCTCAGTATTGTGAAGAGTCCATCAGGGATACTTTTATCAGTGGCCTGCAATCACCAATAATAAGGCAGCGTTTATTGGAGAATAAAACTCTCGACTTAGCCGCTGCCTTTGACCAGGCAAGAGCTCTAGATTCAGCCCAGAAGAATTCTGAAGTATACAGTACCACTCAGCCTTCTCGAGTGGTAAGTGCTGCAATTCCTGACCAAGACTCTTGCAATGAAGTTACTGTGGAACCTGCCTCAGTGACAGCAGCAGCAGGTGCGGTGTGTTTCTTTTGTGGTTTTTCAAGACATCCACGTCCAAAGTGTCCTGCTCGTGAAGCAATATGCCGTAAATGCCACAAGAAAGGTCACTTTGCTAAAGTATGTCGTGCTAATGCATCAACAAGAGCTAGTGCCTCCACACATTCCAGTGATCATGCGACACTAGCAACAGTGACTTCTGCGGCTACTCCAAATTCACTGTCAAAGGCAGTTGTGAAAGTATTCATCAAAGGAACAGAAGTAGATGGTCTTATTGATAGTGGCAGCTCAGAGAGTTTCATCAATCTTGACTTAGTTAAACGCCACTCCTTGACTGTACATCACTCATCAGGTACCGTTTCCATGGCATCAACATCTCTCTCTATTCAGACCTTAGGGTTTTGTAAGGTAAATCTCAGAGTTAATGGAAAGGATTATCAAGATGTACATTTAGCTATTCTGCCACAACTGTGCTCTGATGTTATCCTTGGTCAGGACTTTCAGAAGCTGCATGGTAGTGTCACCTTAACATATGGAGGTGAACTGCCTCCTCTTGTTGTCTGTGGACTTAGCACTTTAAGGGTAGACCCACCAAAGCTGTTTGCAAATCTTACCGCGGATTGCCATCCTATATCAGCTAAGTCACGCCGCTATTCTTATGAGGATCGGATGTTCATTGAGAAAGAAACTCAGAGGCTGCTGAAGGAGGGTATTATAGAACCGAGTAATTCCCTTGGCGTGCACAGGTTGTTGTTGTTAAAGATGATTATAGGAAACGGAGACTGGCTATCGATTACTCTGAGACAATCAACAAATTTACACTTTTTGATGGGTACCCTCTACCTCGAATTGATGATACAGTGAACAAAATTGCTCAGTACTATGTGTTTAGCACAATTGATCTACAGAGTGCCTATCATCAAGTCCCTATAAGGAATGAAGATAAACCATACACAGCATTTCAGGCTAGTGATGGCCTGTATCAGTTTACCAGAGTCCCTTTTGGAGTCACCAATGGGGTAGCCTGCTTCCAACGAATTATGGATTCACTCATTCAGGAAGAGCAACTCATGGGAACTTATGCGTATTTAGATAATGTTACCATTTGTGGCAAGACCCAGGAGGAACATGATGCAAACCTTGATAAGTTTTTGGAAGCCGCCAAGAAGAAAATGTTAGTTACAATGAGGAAAAGTGCACTTTTTCAACTAAAAGGCTTAGTATCCTTGGTTATGTAGTGGAAGGAGGTTCAATATTCCCAGACCCTGAACGACTACGACCTCTATGGGAACTTCCAATGCCTCAAGACAAAAAGTCACTCCGAAGAACTCTTGGTCTCTTTGCTTATTACTCACAATGGATCTACAACTATTCAAGTAAAGTCAGCCCATTGAGTGCTACCACATTTCCTGTGACAAAGGAAGCAGAAGCCGCTTTCCATACTCTCAGACAGGACATTGAAAACTCAGTAGTTCAAGCCATTGATGAGTCCCTACCATTCGAAGTGGAAACGGATGCATCTGACATTGCCATTGCTGCAGTCTTATCTCAGGCAGGACGACCAGTAGCCTTCTTTTCGAGAACTTTTCAAGGATCAGAGAAATGTTACGCTGCTGTAGAAAAGGAAGCCCAGGCCATCATAGAAGCAGTTCGCCACTGGAGGCATTATTTAACTGGTAGACATTTCACCATAAGGACTGACCAACGGTCCGTGATGTATATGTTCGACAAGAAGCACAAAAGTAGGATAAAGAATGACAAGATATTACGCTGGAGGATGAAACTATAGTGTTATGACTTTGATATTCTGTACCGACCGGGTAGAGAAAACATCTCACCTGATGCATTCTCTAGGTCCCACTGTGGAGCAGCATGCCATGATTTGCAATCACTCTCAGCGCTCCACAAGGCTTTGTGTCACCCAGGAGTTACACGCCTGTACCATTTTGTCAAATCAAAGAACATGCCCTACTCAGTGGAAGATGTGCGACAAGTGATCAGAGCATGCAGAGTATGTGCAGAGTGCAAGCCAAACTTTCATCAGCCAGAGAAGACTCATCTCATAAAATCCACCCAGCCTTTCGAGAGACTGAATATAGATTTCAAAGGACCTCTACCAAGCATAAATCAGAATAGATATTTCCTTAACATAGTAGATGAATATTCAAGGTTTCCCTTTGTGTTCCCCTGTGCAAATGTGACTGCTTCAACTGTTATTAGTTGTCTTTCACAGTTGTTCTCTATTTTTGGTATGCCAGCTTATATCCATTCAAACAGGGGATCCTCGTTCATGAGTAACGAACTTCAGGAGTTTTTGTCTAGCAAAGGTATTGCCTGCAGCAGAACAACAAGCTACAACCCTCAAGGCAATGGTCAAGTGGAGCGGTTCAATGGTACTATATGGAAGGCAGTTACAATGACATTGAAGTCGCGCAATCTACCTGTTCAACACTGGCAAACTGTCCTACCTGATGCTCATCACTCTATTAGATCATTGCTGTGCACAGCTACTAATGCAACCCCTCATGAAAGACGCCTCAACTATTCACGTCGTTCCTCTACGGGAGCCTCCGTGCCCACTTGGTTATGTCATCCTGGACCCATTCTCCTGAAGAGTCACCATAGGATGAACAAGACGGATCCTTTAGTGGAAGAGGTAGAGCTCCTGCAAGCTAATCCACATTACGCCCACATTCGCTACCAAAATGGTGAAGAGACTACAGTATCTACAAGACATTTAGCCCCAGTTGAAATCCCCATTTAAGGAAGGTTCCTAGATACTGGCAAGAGGGGTCAGTCAAAGAAATTGGACCTCCACTCCCCTTTCTTGGATAGAACTTGAATGCCTCCTATTTCTCCAGACATTATAGCACCCCCACATAAATGTATTCATAATAATAATAATAATAATAATAATAATAATAATAATAATAATAATAATAATAATAATAATAATGAGAGTCTACCAATCTAGCATACCGAGTCCGGTTCATCTGAAATGTTTTGTGATGTTTCTGTAACTTGGGAATGAGGTTCTCATTTGTATCGTCTTCTGACTTTTTCCCTAGTCAAGTCTACCTTTGTCTATGTCCAAGGGAATCTTAAGTGATTATTATGTCATTACTGGTCTTTGAAACCATGTCAGGATATCTAGCCAGTACTGGATATTTAGCCAGTACTGGATATCTAGCCAGTACTGGATATTTAGCCAGTACTGGATATCTAGCCAGTACTGGATATTTAGCCAGTACTGGATATCTAGCCAGTACTGGATATCTAGCCAGTACTGAATATCTAGCCAGTACTGAATATCTAGCCAGTACTGGATATCTAGCCAGTACTGGATATCTAGCCAGTACTGAATATCTAGCCAGTACTGGATATCTAGCCAGTACTGGATATCTAGCCAGTACTGGATATCTAGCCAGTACAGGATATCTAGCTAGTACTGGATATCTAGCCAGTACTGGATATCTAGCCAGTACTGGATATCTAGCTAGTACTGGATATGTAGCCAGTACTGGATATCTAGCCAGTACAGGATATCTAGCTAGTACTGGATATCTAGCCAGTACTGAATATCTAGCCAGTATTGGATATCTAGCCAGTATTGGATATCTAGCCAGTATTGGATATCTAGCCAGTACTGGATATCTAGCCAGTACTGGATATCTAGCCAGTACTGGATATCTAGCCAGTACTGGATATCTAACCAGTACAGGATATCTAGCTAGTACTGGATATTTAGCCAGTACTGGATATCTAGCCAGTGCAGGATATCTAGCTAGTACTGGATATTTAGCCAGTGCAGGATATCTAGCTAGTACTGGATATTTAGCCAGTACTGGATATCTAGCCAGTACTGGATATCTAGCCAGTATTGGATATCTAGCCAGTATTGGATATCTAGCCAGTATTGGATATCTAGCCAGTACTGGATATCTAGCCAGTACTGGATATCTAGCCAGTACTGGATATCTAGCCAGTACTGGATATCTAGCCAGTACTGGATATCTAGCTAGTACTGGATATTTAGCCAGTACTGGATTTCTAGCCAGTATTGGATATCTAGCCAGTATTGGATATCTAACCAGTACTGGATATCTAGCCAGTACAGGATATCTAGCTAGTACTGGATATTTAGCCAGTACTGGATATCTAGCCAGTACTGGATATCTAGCCAGTACTGGATATCTAGCCAGTATTGGATATCTAGCCAGTACTGGATATCTAGCCAGTACTGGATATCTAGCCAGTACTGGATATCTAGCCAGTATTAGATATCTAGCCAGTATTGGAAATCTAGCCAGTACTGGATATCTAGCCAGTACTGGATATCTAGCCAGTACTGGATATCTAGCCAGTACTGGATATATAGCCAGTACTGGATATCTAGCCAGTACTGGATATCTAGCCAGTACTGGATATCTAGCCAGTACTGAATATCTGGCCAGTACTGGATATCTAGCCAGTACTGGATATCTAGCCAGTATTAGATATCTAGCCAGTATTGGATATCTAGCCAGTACTGGATATCTAGCCAGTACTGGATATCTAGCCAGTACTGGATATCTAGCCAGTACTGGATATCTAGCCAGTACTGGATATCTAGCCAGTACTGGATATCTAGCCAGTACTGGATATCTAGCCAGTACTGGATATCTAGTTCATCTCCCTCCTATGGTAAATAACTGTGCCTGTCAAAGTGCTGAAACTTTATAATGAATGAAGGGCAGCCTACCTGGAGAACCCTGAAAACCAAAAAGATGGTTGGAGCAGCCCCGGCTTGTTGGATGTATGGCCAGGAAGCAAGATGTGCGGCCATGAAGAAGATAGCAAGGACAGGAGCTAGGAAGAGCTGAAGACGCCTGGGTCCTGCCCACTCGCACAGTATGCCTCCCAGCACTGATCCAGGGATGCACATGAATAGTGGCAACGTGGCTGGTAGCATACAAAGACACAAATCAGCAAGAGATAGACTGTTAATGTATGTACTTGCCTAATTGTAGTTGCCGGGGTCGAGGCTCAGCTCCTGGCCCGTGTGTGTGTGTGTGTACTCACCTAGTTGAGGTTGCGGGGGTCGAGTCCGAGCTCCTGGCCCCGCCTCTTCACTGATCGCTACTAGGTCACTCTCCCTGAGCCGTGAGCTTTATCATACCTCTGCTTAAAGCTATGTATGGATCCTGCCTCCACTACATCGCTTCCCAAACTATTCCACTTACTGACTACTCTGTGGCTGAAGAAATACTTCCTAACATCCCTGTGATTCATCTGTGTCTTCAGCTTCCAACTGTGTCCCCTTGTTACTGTGTCCAATCTCTGGAACATCCTGTCTTTGTCCACCTTGTCAATTCCTCTCAGTATTTTGTATGTCGTTATCATGTCCCCCCTATCTCTCCTGTCCTCCAGTGTCGTCAGGTTGAACCCTGAAAACCAAAAAGATGGTTGGAGCAGTGGAGTGTGTGTGTGTGTGTGTGTGTGTGTGTGTGTACTCACCTAGTTGAGGTTGCAGGGGTCGAGTCCGAGCTCCTGGCCCCGCCTCTTCACTGGTTGCTACTAGGTCACTCCCCCTGAACCGTGAGCTTTATCATACTTTTGCTTAAAGCTATGTATGGACCCTGCCTCCACTACATCGCTTCCCAAACTATTCCACTTCCTGACTACTCTGTGGCTGAAGAAATACTTCCTAACATCCCTGTGATTCATCTGTGTCTTCAACTTCCAACTGTGTCCCCTTGTTGCTGTGTCCCATCTCTGCAACATCCTGTCTTTGTCCACCTTGTCAATTCCTCTCAGTATTTTGTATGTCGTTATCATGTCCCCCCCATCTCTCCTGTCCTCCAGTGTCGTCAGGTTGATTTCCCTTAACCTCTCCTCGTAGGACATACCTCTTAGCTCTGGGACTAGTCTTGTTGCAAACCTATGCACTTTCTCTAGTTTCTTTACATGCTTCGCTAGGTGTGGGTTCCAAACTGGTGCATACTCCAATATGGGCCTAACGTACACGGTGTACAATGTCCTGAACGATTCCTTATTAAGATGTCTTAATGCTGTTCTGAGGTTTGCTAGGCGCCCATATGCTGCAGCAGTTATTTGGTTGATGTGCGCTTCAGGAGATGTGCCTGGTGTTATACTCACCCCAAGAGTGAGGTTTGTAGTCTCTGGCCCCCTAGACTGTATTCCATCTGCGGTCTTCCTTGCTCTTCCCCAATCTTCATGACTTTGCACTTGGTGGGGTTGAACTCCAGGAGCCAGTTGCTGGACCAGGTCTGCAGCCTGTCCAGATCCCTTTGTAGTTCTGCCTGGTCTTCAATCGAATGAATTCTTCTCATCAACTTCACGTCATCTTCAAACAGGGACACTTCGGAGTCTATTCCTTCCGTCATGTCGTTCACAAATACCAGAAACGGTACTGGTCCTAGGACTGACCCCTGTGGGACCCAGCTGGTTACAGGTGCCCACTCTGACACCTCACCACGTATCATGACTCGCTGCTGTCTCCCTGACAAGTATTCCCTGATCCATTGTAGTGCCTTCCTTGTTATCCCTGCTTGGTCCTCCAGTTATTGCACTAATCTCTTGTGTGGAATTATGTCAAATGCCTTCTTGCAGTCCAAAAAAATGCAATCCACCCACCCCTCTCTCTTTTGTCTTACTGCTGTCACCATGTCATAGAACTCCAGTAGGTTTGTGACACAGGATTTCCCAACCCTGAAACCATGTTGGCTGCTGTTGATGAGATCATTCCTTTCTAAGTGTTCCACCACTCTTCTCCTGATAATCTTCTCCATGACTTTGCATACTATACATGTCAGTGACACTGGTCTGTAGTTTAGTGCTTCATGTCTGTCTCCTTTTTTAAAGATTGGGGCTACATTTGCTGTCTTCCATGCCTCAGGCAATCTCCCCGTTTCGATAGATGTATTGAATATTGTTGTTAAGGGTGCACATAGCGCCTCTGCTCCTTCTCTCAGGACCCATGGAGAGATGTTATCCGGCCCCATTGCCTTTGAGGTATCTAGCTCACTCAGAAGCCTCTTCACTTCTTCCTCGGTTGTGTATACTGTGTCCAGCACTTGGTGGTGTGCCCCACCTCTCCGTCTTTCTGGAGCCCCTTCTGTCTCCTCTGTGAACACTTCTTTGAATCTCTTGTTGAGGTCCTCACATACTTCACGGTCATTTCTTGTCTCTCCTCTTTCCTTCTTTAGCCTGATTACCTGGTCCTTGACTGTTGTTTTCCTCCTGAGGTGGCTGTATAACAGCTTCGGCTTTCGCTGCTATGTAGTTTTCATATTGTCGTTGGGCCTCCCTTCTTATCTGTGCATATTCATTTCTGGCTCTACGACTGCTCTCCTTATTCTCCTGGGTCCTTTGCCTTCTATATTTCTTCCATTCCCTAGCACACTTTGTTTTTGCCTCCCTGCACCTTTGGGTGAACCATGGGCTCATCCTGGCTTTTTCATTATTCCAGTTACTCTTGGGTACAAACCTCTCCTCAGCCTCCTTGCACATTGTGTGTGTACTCACCTATTTGTACTCACCTATTTGTGGTTGCAGGGGTCGAGTCCTAGCTCCTGGCCCCGCCTCTTCACCGGTTGCTACTAGGCCCTCTCTCTCCCCGCTCCATGAGCTTTATCAAACCTCGTCTTAAAACTGTGTATGGTTCCTGCCTCCACTACGTCATTTTCTAGGCTATTCCACTGCCTTACAACTCTATGACTGAAGAAATACTTCCTACTATCTCTCTGACTCATTTGTGTCTTCAGCTTCCAATTGTGGCCTCTTGTTTCTGTGTCCCCTCCCTGGAACATCCTGTCTTTGTCCACCTTGTCTATTCCACGCAGTATTTTATATGTCGTTATCATGTCTCCCCTGACCCTCCTGTCCTCCAGTGAGGTCAGGCCGATTTCCCTTAATCTTTCTTCATAGGACATTCCCTTAGCTCTGGAACTAACCTTGTCGCAAACCTTTGTACTTTCTCTAGTTTCCTGACGTGCTTTATCAAGTGCGGGTTCCAAACAGGTGCTGCATACTCCAGTATGGGCCTGACATACACGGTGTACAGTGTCTTGAATGATTCCTTACTAAGGTATCGGAATGCTGTTCTCAGGTTTGCCAGGCGCCCATATGCTGCAGCAGTTATCTGATTGATGTGTGCTTCCGGAGACATGCTCGGTGTTATACTCACCCCAAGATCTTTCTCCTTGAGTGAGGTTTGCAGTCTTTGGCCACCTAGCCTATACTCTGTCTGTGGTCTTCTGTGCCCCTCCCCCATCTTCATGACTTTGCATTTGGCAGGATTAAATTCGAGAAGCCATTTGCTGGACCAGGTGTCCAGTCTGTCCAGGTCTCTTTGACGTCCTGCCTGGTCCTCCTCTGATTTAATTCTCCTCATTAACTTCACATCATCTGCAAACAGGGACACTTCTGAGTCTAACCCTTCCGTCATGTCGTGTGTGTGTGTGTGTGTGTGTGTGTGTGTGTGTGTGTGTGTGTGTGTGTGTGTGTGTGCGTGCGTGTGTGTGTGTGTGTGTGTGTGTGTGTGTGTGTGTGTGTGTGTGTGTGTGTTTGTGTGTTTGTGTGTGCGCGCGCGCGCCAGCCAAATCACCGCATAAACTTCAAACAACTTATATCATACTGTGAGGGTGAACAAGGTAGGGTCTGAGCACTGCTAGACTTGGCTTATCAATTTACCGCTTACCACACCCAACAGCACAGCAAGAAATAAGCACTGTAGAAGTTTACAAGGGCGTGCATTCGTTAATGTGACTTGTCATCTAATATGGCGCATCAAAAACCCGTAATGTCATGTGCAAAACCTCAAAAGGCGGTAACGATAGATCTGCATACCTATTATGTTTCTAGGATGTTTGATGTGAGGTTATTTGCGCTTCAATATTTTTCGTGTAACTCTCAGTTTCACGACACTAACTTAGCCTTGTTTCTGGTGTTTTGATGCTTTATGTCCTTCGTATGTATTTTCACGTAACTCCTACACTATTGTATTGAAGAGGGAAATGGGAAGCAATCAGGTTCCATCCAAGGAACGGATCAAGAGCCCCCTCCCCTCGCCAGCATCAGAAAACCTTCTCTGAGGTGTACGTTCTTAAAGGGTATTTGAACGTTTGTCTCTACAAACTTTGCCTTATTTCTGGTATTAATTTTATTGCATATGTATATTGCCTATTTTAATCCATACTTTTAAAATCCGACATTTTTTTTTATAATTTAGACAGAGTCTAATGATGCAATATGACAACTGTGAAACGTTATTCCTGCTAATAAAGTATGCATGTCCTCATTCTGGTATTGATCATCAGTCAACGACTGCGCTTTCCAAGTAGCAGACACACACTCACACTCTCACATACACACTACAAATATCAGAGTGAGATGGACCTTGGGGTGAATGTAATACGAAGCATATCTGCGGCGTGTGCAACATTAGCAAATCTCTGAATAGCATTCAGAAACTTTAAGAGTCCTTTCGAACTTTGTATATATATATTAGGCCGTTATTGAATATACAGTGCCAGTAGGGAGCCCACTCCTGGTCAGGGTTGAAAACTTTCTAGGTTTTGCAACCGGTTAGTACCAGAACTGAGAGAATGCAACTTTCTCATAAACCCCCACACAAAAGATCAGTTTGACAATGAAATATGGATCCCAGGACCAACTTAATTCTCCTTACTATCCGTAAGGAGAATCAACTTTTTTAATTGAGGTCCTAAGTGCCACCACTTCTGAGTCCCGATTTTGGCGTCTGAACAATTGAGTCAGTCAGAAAATAAACCTAATTGAGATAGATAGCTTTATCTGTACTACCTTTTGTAACCTCTCCCTCTCTATACCTCATACCAGGTGTCTATTAAAAAAATACACTTCCGCTGCCCACATAGTTCCTGGGTAAATTTCACGTTGTTTTAGTCACATGTGTGGTGATGTCCACCTCGCCTCCTCTGCCCACGTCTCTTCTTCCACTTCCCCCATGCAAAGCCTCAGAAGTTAGCGACCGAAATGGTTCAAATTCCTTTTGTATAAGCTCGAGGATTATAACGATAAGTGGCGAGATTTTAACATTAATATAAAAGGAGAATTCATTACACACACGAGAGTGCAAAATCCACAAGACACCAATTCTAGCCAGACCTGAACTGCAGTGACAATATTTTCTCACAAATGTTCTTGTTATTGATTTTATGCTTTATTTACAGCTAGCAAAGTCAGGGTATTTCTCCAGAATGGTCTGCAATATACCACTGTGGATAAAATACTTAGCCATTTCTTGAACATTTCTGAGTGAGTTGTTTCTAAATTCATTAATTTTATCACACTCCAGTACATAATGACGCAAGGTGTGACAATAATCCATCTGGCAAAGTTTACATTTCGTTTGGTCTACATCTGGTGGTGGTGATTTAACCTGCCAAAGATACTTGTAACCCAGCCGGAGCCGGGCGGTAGTGACATCCAAGAGTCTGCTTATTTTGTTGGATGCACCATAGACATGTGGCTCCTCCTGCATGATAGAATGATGATAGATGGACTCACTGGTGTCAATCTCCCTGAGCCTTAAGTCCATAAAATTCAGCTGAAGTTCTTTTCGAGACTCAGCAATCAACATTTGCACCAATAACTCACTACAGTTGTGACCGGGTGTGGAAGTGTGAATTGCTCATTACTCTAAAATTTGTTCATGATTGCAGCCATGTATAAACGTAAGTAACCATTCTTACAGTATTCATTACCTTTGTAACTTGTGAGTTCATTACCTTTGTAACTTGTGAGTTCATTACCTTGTACCTAGTTCAGCCATCAAAACTTTGGAGCCCGGTCCCTGGACCCATTGTGTATCTCTGTAATCTGTAAATACCTTTGTAACTTGTCATGATTGTGACTAGACCTACCTGGAGTTCATTACCTTTGTAAATTGTGAGTTCATTACCTTTGTAAATTGTGAATTCATTACCTCTGTAACTTGCTCAGCTATCAAAACTTTGGAGTCCAGTCCCTGGACCAATTATGTACCTCTGTAATCTTTTGACTACCGCCCACAGGATGGGTATGGGGTGCATAATAAACATATTAAACTAAACTAATTAAACTAAACTATTGATTTTATTTGAAGATCTTGAGGCAAATTTCATCATAATGTATAGCAATAAATGGACTGAATGGTGGGAGGTTTTAACTGATGAACAACATTTGGTCAAGCTTCGCCATTGGCTGGGGAGACTTCAGTAAGCCACAGGCCTCCTGATCCTTAAAATGGTATATTACGTAGAAAATATATGTTATTTACCGAACCAACTGGCTTGTGATGATGAGAGATAGAGGCCGGTGTTAGCATGGGGCATGTCGATGGTGAGGATGGTGTCGGCGTGGAAGCTGGTGTCGGCGTGGAGGCTGGTGTCGGCGTGGAGGCTGGAGTTGGCGTGGAAGCTGGTGTCGGCGTGGAAGCTGGTGTCGGCGTGGAGGCTGGTGTTGGCGTGAAGGCTGGCATCACTAAGATAGAGGCTGGCGTTGGGATTGATGAGCTGGGGAAGGGCCAAGGCAGAGTAACCGAAGACTGACCAAACACCACATGTTAGCAGAGCTGAGGATGTCACCACCTGCAACACACCAAACAGAAGTCACTAGCATAAAGAAACAACTTATTTGTCACTGTTCTTACATATTATCAATAAAACAAAACTTTATAATAGTAAGAGTCGGCGACTAAGCTCAGTGGCAGAGCGTTCCGTTTATAACGGGGAGAATCCGGGTGAGGTAAAATCTATGGACAGTCTCCTTACATAAATAACCCACACATAGGAGAGAGGAGCTTACGACGACGTTTCGGTCCGACTTGGACCGTAACGTCGTCGTAAGCTCCTCTCTCCTATGTGTGGGTCATTTGTGCATTGTTCCAGTCTCTGTACTGTGCCTTTTTGTTCTTGACAGTCTCCTTACACTCGTTGACTCTTTTAAACTAGCAGTTATTATTTAGCTTAAATCCTTGAATAATATACCATTTTCCCTCGAGTTTGTATCAAAAGTCAGTTTTGTAAGCTGTCATGTTTTGTCGTATTTCCTTTCCCACCTCACTGATGGATCTATCTCGTATGTAGACCTTTGCACCCGAGACCTGGGCCCGTGACACACCTGCATCCATGAAGGATGCGGCAGAAATCAGATAAAGGTCAGATAAAGCAGCAATCTGACAACCATTTAGCTTGTGAAAGGGCAATGACCGCTAGCGTGACTCAGAGAGGTTATGTGGGCGTCACATAGGTAAAGATAAGTACTTTGTGTTGCGATAAGACATTGCAATGTTGAAATGTTGAGCGAAGAAGCGGAACTTTTGCAACTACTCATTGCAAATTTTGCAATATCTCATTTTCTCTCATGCGGTTTTTGGCAAATTTCTCGGTCAGGCTAGATCTTGTTAGATTAGGTTAGGGTAAATTAGATTATCATCTTCCAATAAAAAGCACATTAAAACATAGCACAACGTCAATAAATGAAATATTACGTACAGAAGATAATTTTTTTTTAGAAGAGTGAGCGGAGAACCGAACCCACTGAGAGCACCGGAAAATACTGTCAGAATATCATTGTTTAAAGCTCGTAAAGTCTCCTATATGACTGTTTTAAGAATAGTAAAATACTGACTATTATTAAGAGGATGAGCTGAACTCTGACATTAAATCTTATAAGTATAAACAAAAAAATTATGAGAGAAATGTGCCATATTTATGGACAATCCCAGAGGAGTTGAGGTGGGGGGGGGGGGGTTGTGAAGGGATGTTTACATAAATCCCGAATTTTTTGTGCGTCTGTGAATAATAAAATAATCTTTCATTTCTACCAGTACATGACACAACTTATACAGAGCATAGCTAACATCAGTGACATACTTTATAGAAAGACCCTGGCAATGCAGAGCATTTCGAGCGACTTAGGTTAATCTTGTCCCCCAGGATGCGACCCGCACCAGTCGACTAACACCCAAGTACCTACTTGTTGCTAGGAGAACAGGGACAACAAGTGTAAGGCAACACGCCAAATGTTTCCACCCGTACCGGGAATCGAGCCACGGACACTCAGTGCGTGAGCTGAGTGCGCGACCAACCGAGCTACGGAACACTTAAAGTGATAAAGAGAAAGAAACAAATTAATATGAACTCAAGTATGCAAAACAACCACTGTGAAATGGTGAAATTCCAAGCGCTTTCGTGACTTCTCACATTATCAAGGAACTTTATAAGTATACAAACACTGATCTCTGGCTGAAGGAGACTCGAAACTACGAACCTTGGAACAAGGTACGCAGTGCTTTACCAATCTACCCACACTGGACCAATACCTTGGAGTCCAGCTTGCGCTAGACTTTGATCCAAGGCAGCCAGCTTTCAGGGTGAAGGCTTACAGCTTTTCATCTCATCCCCTGCATGCATCAGCCTTACTAGAGATATTAATAATGCAAGGAATTCGCAAGAGCAGGCGAAATATACACAAACACTGATCTCTGGCTGAAGGAGACTCAGCCTTACTAGAGATAAGGCTGATGCATGCAGGGGATGAGATGAAAAGCTGTAAGCCTTCTCTCTGAAAGCTGGCTGCCTTGGATCAAAGTCTAGTGCAAGCTGGACTCCAAGGTATTGGTCCAGTGTGGGTAGATCGGTAAAGCACTGCGTACCTTGTTCCAAGGTTCGTAGGTTCGAGTCTCCTTCAGCCAGAGATCAGTGTTTGTGTATATTTCGCCTGCTCTTGCGAATTCCTTGCATTGTTAATATCTCTAGTAAGGCTGGTGCATGCAGGGGATGAGATGAAAAGCTGTAAGCCTTCTCCCTGAAAGCTGGCTGCCTTGGATCAAAGTCTAGCGCAAGCTGGACTCCAAGGTATTGGTCCAGTGTGGGTAGATCGGTAAAGCACTGCATACCTTGTTCCAAGGTTAGTAGGTTCGAGTCTCCTTCAGCCAGAGATCAGTGTTTGTGCATATTTCGCCTGCTCTTGCGAATTCCTTGCATATATAAGTATATAATATATTTTAGATAAATGGGACCAAAGTTACAGAAGAAAAAAATATACGAGAAAGTTAAAAATGGATTTGTTAAAGTTAATAAAGGAAAACATGTTAAAAACATTATGGATTAAAAAAATGCGAAAACTTCCACTCGATAAATATGTAAAATCTTTCTTCCTCAAAGGCTTCCATGTGATTGCTTGAGAATGCTTCTTCTGATCGGCTTTAAACTTTCAAACTTTCAACACTAATGTGCCTTTCTTAAGAGGAGGATTATGTTACTTGACGGTACAGGTCCTAATTTACTAATTTTATTTTTGAGCTGCATAGGTGCCAATTTACCAATAATATTTTCATTTGTTCATTTAATCGCCAGGAGCATCCTGTCATGAGTCTTTATTAAACGACCCGTCACTGACTCCCGTAGGAAGACGAGTGTTATACAACTGAAGGTGCATAAGGGATATTCCCTTATGTGCCTTCAGTTGTTCCCTTAATAAGGGATATTCCCTTATGTCAGGGGGACAGGTATGTCCATTCCTCTTACCGGGTATAATTTCAGCAGCTGGCCTGGACATGTACAACATTTACCTACAGTGAATGATGCATAGTTAGTGTCTCCTGTCCGGTACTGTCGATGAAATTCTTAAAACTCCAGAAACTCTTGTAGTCTCTGGACCATCATCAACTTTGGGCCGAAACCCAACCGCAGGTGACTCGAAATGTGACACTCACCGGTGTCTGCAGACAGCAGTCGAAGGAAACGAAGGAGTTATATTTAACAAGTTTGAGATGTATTTTTTCTGTTCTTTCGACGTCAGAGCATTTTACTGACCCAGACGAAGGTCGATTGTTGTTTGAATGAGTTAGTGCCACTTTGCTAAGTTTTTATTTAAACAAAATCTTTGCATGGCTGGTAGCCATCGCATCACATACTCTTGTAAGTTACAAAAACATAAAATTATACTATTTTTTCCATACATAATTATATATCATAAAAAACAAACAAAATAAACTAAAAAATAATGAAAACTTACCCTTTTTTTCTCTTTTTTGAAACAAGATTTTCACTTTGTTTTTAAACAATATAATTTTCCCGTTCTTATATTACTGCTCTTTTAAGAATGTTGATAGACAGTTCTTGGCCTTTTCAAGGTGTTAGGTTCTGCATGTTAGACTTTCTTGAGTGTGTCGAGCTAAGGCCCATGGGCTTCTTGAAGGTGTCGACCCCCAACTCCTGGACTTCTGAAACTGCAGTTCCTCAGCCTCGCCATAGTTTTGAGGTGCAACTACTATGCCTCTTGCGGGGCATGGTAGTTGTATGGAGTATGGAATACGGGGGATACCTCTCAAATTATGCAAAGGCAGAAACACATCTTTTTTCTACTATGTAATACATAGGAAATCATGTCAGTTGGGAAATTATTTCACTAAAGAAGGATAATAATAATAATAATAATAATAATAAATAATAATAATAATAATAATAATAACACAAAGCACATTACAGAGAGTGAACACTGAAACAAGCTGCCTCTTTCCAGTCTATATTTGTCCAACCTATTTTTATGTTACCCAAGTAATAGCTTTTACATCCTTTTACTCATGTACGAATTAATTGCTCTACCATATTGTATTACTTTTGTCACTACCACTACTATTACTACTACCACTACCATTAGTGAACATCGAAATGGCACCTCACTAGTATTGCACCTCACTCTGAGCCTTTATATATCCTCTGTGTCCATGTATTGTTTGTAATGGCTTGATAAAGCTCCTGGAGAGCGAAACGTTGCCACAATAAATGTCACATTAGTTGCACTTGTGTCCTTTTACTTTACATACTGCATTTGTGTATGGTGTGTGTATTGAAGTTAATAAGCTGTTAAACCAATTTCAAGTGTTTCTCAGTTCTGTAAATGTGGGAATCTTTATTGAGGAAACGTTTGGCCACACAGTGGGTTCATCAGTCTAATACACAGTCCAATACACATTTCTACTTTGTATTGGACTGATGAACCCAGTCTTTGGCCAAACGTTTCCTCAATAAAGATTCCCATATTCACAGAACTGAGAAACACTAGAAATTGGTTTAACAGCTTATTAACTTCAATACACACACCATACTCAAATGCAGTATGTAAAGTAAAAGGACACAAGTGCAACTAATGTGACATTTATTGTGGCAACGTTTCGCTCTCCAGGAGCTTTATCAAGCCATTACAAACAATACATGGACACAGAGGATATATAAAGGCTCAGAGTGAGGTGCAATACTAGTGAGGTGCCATTTCGATGTTCACTAATGGTAGTGGTAGTAGTAATAGTAGTGGTAGTGACAAAAGTAATACAATATGGTAGAGCAATTAATTCGTACATGAGTAAAAGGATGTAAAAGCTATTACTTGGGTAACATAAAAATAGGTTGGACAAATATAGACTGGGAAAGAGGCAGCTTGTTTCAGTGTTCACTCTCTGTAATGTGCTTTGTGTAGTATAACAGGAGAGACTATGTGATAGCAGGGTTTACTGTTTTCAGGAGGATTCTTGCTAAGACTTCGGAGATGGTGAAGCTGCCGTTGTTTTGTTTAATTGTATTCG